CTCCCTCCCACCCCCATGCTCTTCTTCCCCACAGGGGACTTCTCCCCCAGAGGCAGGGAGCCATGCCGGCACACAGGGAGCCAGCTGGCAGCCAGCTCACTGTTCCCCCTCTGCGTTCTCTGTAAAATCCTGAGAGCTGGGATTCATTTTATCCGGAACAGTGCCAACACGAGTGGCTTCCTTGGCTCCTACCCCTCAACCCCCAACATTCCGCAGTTCTGCCTGAAACCACCTTCCGGGGGCCTTGGGAAAGCTGCGCCAGTGTGAACGTGAACGTGAACGTGGTCCGGCACCGGGCTGCTCAGATCTGAGCGATCAAGGACCCGCTGCAGGTCCACACACGAAGAGCAGCCTTTATGAGAACACTCCGTTGTTCTGTAGTGAGGACTTGAAAAGGCAGCAAACAGGTACGCAGCCGTGTCCTCGGGAACAGCCGGCTGAACAGCCAGCGAAGGCGTGTCCTTGCCTGAGGCCTCGCTGCCTCTCCCGGGAAAAGCAGATTCCAGCCCCTCCTCCCCTCCCCCTCCTAAGGGTGGAATAGCACTGAATAAAGCAGCCTCAGTCTTCACACTCTTAGCATTTAACGTGAAAAAACAGGCGAGGGGGGAAGTGACATGGGAGAAACTGGTGCACAATTTGACGGTGCAGAGCCCAGGTGTGGGTAAAAGTGATTTATTTTTGGAACATGTCAACAGCTATGCAACTAGGAACATTTCATTCACCCGTCCCATCCATGTTTTGTGTCACAAAGACATACCAAGACTTCGGAAAAAATTCCAAAGGGGATTACATTGAAATGTGCTGTTTCTTCACTTGTGAGTCCTGTGCTTGTCTTAATCACAGTGAGTCAAGTGAAATAGCTTTACAGCTTACTAGCACTCAAACCTGTCCTCCAAGGAAGCAGTTTAACGCTTCCAGCCGCAAACCGGCCTGGCAGCGATGCCACGGCAGGAGGCAGCCCCAGGGGACAAAGCAGCTCTAACATAAAGCTTGTCTTGTCAAAAGAAAAAACTTAAAAAGAAACACCAAAAAGATAAAATATAAAGCCCATTGCCAGAAAGGAAGGAAGGAAGACCAAGAGGGAAATTCAATGTGTCTAGGAAGAGTGGGTCCTCCGCAGGACTGAGACCCCAGAATAATAAGGTGCCGTGTACTCTTTTGGAAAAAAGAGGTGAGGAACAGATCTGTCTGAAGCCATGCCAAGAATCTGGTTTCAAAAGACAAAATGGGCCTGGCCGGTGTGGCTCAATGGCTGAATGTTGACCTATGATCCAGGAGGTCAAGGTTTGATTCCCAGTCAGGGTACATGCCCGGGTTGTGGGCTTGATCCCCAGTGGGGAGAGTGCAGGAGGCAGCCGATCAATGATTCTCTCTCATCATTGATGTTCCTATCACTCCTCCTCCCTTCTTCTCTGAAATCAATGAAAACATAAAATTTTTAAAAAGTTGAAACGGACCACAGGCAGGTACTTCACGGTATCTCCAGTGGCGGCACTGACCATGAATTAGAGGGCCAGGAGCACATTCTCCCCGGGTGCACCCTGGGCTGTGCCAACAATGCAGCCAGTAACTCACCAAGAAGAGTGTCCCCTGCTCTTGCCAGTCTGCAGGAAGCTTGCAGGGGTTGGCAGCTGGCTTCCCATTGCGAGGCGCCTCCCTGCCTCTGCCATAGCCACACCACCAAGTCCCTTTAGGAACAAATCAGACGAGACCTGCAGAACTGGACTTGTAATCCAGAATGAATAGGTAGACACCACTCAGAGATGCCCAAGGACACTGTCCATGCTCCGGCAACATCATTTGCCATTGTCATTTCTCGTCCATTGCGAATGGGTGGACCACTTCTGCCCAAAACTCAAAGCAGTGGCTGGCTGGGAAAGCAGTAACTGTGCAAGGTGGCAATATGCCTCCATGACTGAGGCTCATCCCAGCGCGCCTCTGACCAACCTGGAGGTTTCTGAGCAAAAGGGCCTGGGCTGGGAGGGGTGGTTTAGAAGCCTCGGCCAATAGTGTCCTTTGCTGGACCACTTATCTCTGAGTCAAATGGTGTGTGTGTGTGTGTGTGTGTGTGTGTGTGTGTGTGTGTGTGTGCTGTGTGGAGGGGGTGAAGGCCCAGCAGACTGGGCCTCAGGACAACGTGCCCCTGCCGCACCTCCACAGACCAGCAGGCACGTACACAGCTTCAGAGTGGCCAAGTGGAGCCCACCATCCAGGCTAGAACTCTGGGTTGCCCTCATGAGGCTATGAGAGAAACAGCTCAGAGGAAAACCTCCAGATGCCAAAACCTCCACTGGCCAACTGACCACATATTTCAAACATGATTTGATGCAATGAGATTCAAGACCATTTCCCCAGATTTCTCACACCCATGCCCATGACCCATACTAAGTTCACATGGGTACACAGCACACACGCCTAGCTAACAAGCGAGTTTCCTATGCTTAGCCTGATGGTGTGGGGCGTGCGCCGACATTTCCTACTCCACTCCATTGCTGGTGCGACCCCTGCATGCACCGTGTGACCCATTTGTGGATCCCAACTGCAGTTGGACGAAACAGCCCTGAGTGTTCCAGACACGCCCCGGGAGCCGAGGGGCTGTAGTCTTGCAGACAGAGAAGTCACGCCCTCCACGGAGGTAGCCGCCTTCCCTGGCAGGACTCGGAGCAGCCTGCGTCTTTGGTATCAGTCACTAGGTGCTCCTTCACACACTTTCCTACCTGTTCCTGACCCCCATGAAAAGGCTCTCAGCCCCCTTCTTTGGCCTGGAATCCCTTCATTGGAGACAAAGCCTTACCTTGTGCAATTAGAGTATCAGTCACTAGGTGCCCCTGAGGCTGCTGCGGAGAAGAGGGAGCCCCCACAGGGGGGCTGGCCCAGGTGCAAGCGGGCAGCCACCGGCAAAGTGGAGACGTCCCCGGCCGGCCGGGCTGGGGCTCGCTCCTTAGGGGTTTCCCACGGGCGCGCCGGACCTTCGGAACCTCTGGATGAGGAGGAGCAGCCTGGTGACGTCAGAGAGCGCGGGAAACAGGGCCATGACGCTGTCCACCTGGTGCGGCG